CCACTCTATGGTAATCTATAACAGTTCAGTATTAAAAATAATCTAAATATTGATCAGCAAGTTGTATAAATGAATGTATATAATAAAATTTCAAGATACTAAAAATATTATATATATATATATATATATATAAATTTTGTGAACCATTAAAATTAAATAATTATAGAATAGTTATTGAAAATATAGCTGAAAATGATATTTATTTATCGAGATTATAATAATTATATAATTTTTTATATTAATATTTATTTATGATACAATTTGGAGATATTCTAAAAATTAGAAAAATGTAATATCATATAAAAGTATAAAATAAATAATTGTAAAATTGTAAATTATACGTAGAAAACTTATATTTTTTAAATTTATATAAATTATAGAGATTGTAAATTAATGTTTTCTAAAAATTTAAATTAAAAAATAAAATATTTTGTAAATTTAGGAGATAAATATAGTTAAAATTGAAATAATTATTTTATTAAAACACTACTATTTAATAAAAAAATATTCTTAAATTAAAGGACTCGTGAATGATCATTTAATATAGTTCAAATTCATTTGTCAAAGAAATTAATATAGTTCAAATTAAAATAATAAATAATATTTCAAAAATCATGAAATTTGAACTTCAAAAAAAAATTATAACACTTAATTACTTAAAAATACCAGATATTCTATTTTCTTAATATCAACTTACATGTCACATTAAATATAAAATAAACTTAATTTATGTATTATAAGATAAATTATTTTTTTTTTACAAAATAATATGCAAAACCTGAAAATAAAAAGTTGTTAAATCATTTTATTAAAATATTTCATGTAATATGATTCTCGGTATAATTTTCAAATAATTAAAAGGTATACATTTATTAGTGTGACAATTAACAATTACCACTGTATCACATAATTTGAAAAAAATAATTAAGGCGTTTGAAAAATAAAAGTAAAATAAAGTCTAATAATAATGTACAATTAAAAAATTATTTTTAAGTTTTGTCTTCATCAAGTTGTTATATAATTTAATTATATGATTAAGGGGTTATTTGAAAAAATAATTAAGGGGTTTGAAAAATAAAAGTAAAATAGAGTCTAATTATAATGTACAATTAAAAAAATTATTTTTAATTTTTGTCTTCATCAAGTTGTTATATAATTTAATTATATGATTAAGGGATTATTTGAAATTGAAATATAATGATAAATTATGCACGAGTTTTTCAAATTTAAACATATTTATAAGTATAAATTTAAATATTATTTAAAATTTAACAATTAATTTAAATATATGTATACTTGAAGAGAACGATGATGAAATCAATGTTTATATTGAATACTTTAATTACAAATATTAATTTAGATAACTATGTCATAATGAAACTGAAACCTAATATAATTGTATTACGTAACCGTTAAATTTTAGTTATAATAAAATGTCGTACAATTTGTAATTAATAAAAAATAATTTTAAATTATAATTAATTACCATTTATTACCAATATTAATTGTAATTAATATTGATTTCAATTCAATTTAGTAAATAATTAAAAGACAAATAATTTTTTTTTATAACAACATTTTAATTTTATAATTCTTTCTCACAACTTTTGTAGTGTCTCCTTTGATCTTTTTAGAACCATGCATTTCCATACATTTTTTTGACTTTACATAGATATAGGTTATTAGTATTACTTTAAAATCTTGACAATTATAATTAATACAATTGTGGATTACTATTATCATTTATCCATCCTTTCTTGTCAAAGTTAAGTTTCAACAAATACACATAAATAATGAGAGATAAAAAATTAATTAATATATAATATGTTAAATTAGAAGAAATTTAAAATGGAATAAAAACATTCATTTAGTAGTTGAGGGTGAACTTTAGGGAATGTATTAGTTTAGAATTTCATAAGATTTTAAAAGATTTTTTTTGAGTAAAAAAAAAGTTCATTAGTATTCAATGAGAATTTTATGTCACTTAAAAACAATTTAGTGATATTTAATCAAGATTTTCAAGATTTTTTAAAGAATCCATTAAAATCTATTGATATTCATTTAAGACTTTTGACAACTTAATGTTATCTTTAAGCTAATATAGGAATCTTTAAAGTTTCTACATAAATCTTGCATAAAAAAAACTAAATCTTTCATTAATTAAGTTAAAGGACAAAATAAAAGGTCCTTTTATGTCGGCATGACACTTAGTAATCTAGTTTCATTTTAACTTAGAGCAATTTTATGCATAGAAAAAAGACTAATCAAATGAATTGACCAAATAACATCCATTGGAACAAATCAAATCTAAAATTAAAAACGGAAAAAACCCACCACAGATTTGACGAAAAGATAGACAACTTAAATGAAAAATAAACAAAATCTGAAAAAATTAGAACCTAGGGGAAATAAATCAAGCAAATCAACCAAAGAAACGAAATCTCAAAAGTACAAAACCTCTCTTTGAAATCCTAATTTTGTGTGTCTCTCTATTTTTCCTTTTGTGTTTCAGTTATCACTACGAAGATGATGTTGATTTGAGCGCTATGTTGTTTTTAGAGGACAACAATTTTCGTTTCCCTCTCAACAATTTCGATAGTGTGGAAGTTATTCGCTGCAATGAAGATTATTTTAGTCATTGAATTTTAAACAATTCTAAAAAATTTTAAAAAGTAATTTTAAAGCTTTACAAAACAAAGAAAATCATACATAAATAATGGAGAAAATTCTTAAAGATGGAGAAAAAATTTAATTATTATTCATAATTTTATTTCCAAAAAAATAACTTACAGATGTAATATGCTAAAGTAAGAACTCAAAAAGTACGGTTGAGTTTGTCTCACTCACATAACTAGTTATTGAAAAAATGTGTTCAATGTGATCAAGTCAAATACTTACAAAGTACAATTGAATTTACCTTATTCACATAATCAATTGAGAAGTGTATAACTCATAATTATAATCAATGCTATATCACAAAATGCTGAACTATCCTTAGGAAGGTGGAAGAGGAGAGAGATATGATTGAAAAAATGATATGAAAAGATTTTAATGAAATTTTAGTAACCAATGTAAAAAATCTATTTTAAAATGAGTTAATCACCTATACACTGTCAGTGTAAAGTTTTTTTACACTGACAACCAATTATATCTTTTAATTGTGTCATGTCACTATAAACATATTTACTTTTAACAGTGACATGACACAATTAAAAGATATAATTAGTTGTCAGTGTAAAAAAACTTTACACTGACAGTGTATAGATGGTTAACTCTTTCAAAATTTCTATTGAAAAACATTAGTAAACTAGATCATAAAAAAAAAAAGACATAGCAAAACATGTATTGAGAGGAGTATGCCACGTAAGAAAAGAAAAGCTAATGTGACAAAATCTATAACTTTTATAAATCTAATCTTACTTGACTGTCATAATTCGCGACTCAACTTTTAGGAGGACGAGGACGACAAAGAGGCTTTCAACGAAGATTTAGGGGATGGTGAGGGGCGGGTGCAACCCCAAATAAAAAAAGAATTAACATAACGACTATTTTGCAAATATAAATAAGTTAGAAAACTTGATAAAATTTCTACCTCATGGATGAGGCATGTACCAAAGTACTTCATGTTAGAAGCATTCACATAACTTATTGAAAAAGTGTATGCAATGTGGTCAAGTCAAGTACTTAAAAAGTACAGTCGAATTTACTTTATTCACATAACCAATTGAGAAGTGTATATAACTCATGATTATAACCAATGCTATATCACAAAATATCCTTAGGAAGGTGGAAGAGGAGAGAGATATGATTGAAAAAATGATATGAAAAGATTTTAATGAGATTTTAGTAACCAATGAAAAAAATTCATTTCAATATTTTCATTGAAAAACATTAATAACTTAGATCATAGAAAAAGACATAACAAATTATGTAGTAAAACATGTATTGAGAGAAGCATGCCACGTAAGAAAAAAAAAAAAAAAGCTAATGTAACAAAATTTATAATTTTTATAGATCTAATCTTATTTGATGTCATAATTCGCGACTCAGCTTTTATATTATAAATAGAAGATTGAGTTCAATTCTTTAAGTCTAGCACATGGCATGACTCAAGCACTGATCTCGTGTTTCAGATGGATGTCTTGTACAGGTTTGCTGAACGGGACTTGACTTTGGTCTTGCTGGGGCTGTTTAATGGTTAGGTTTAAGCATAGTTGTGGTATTGTCATCACATGGCAAAACCACTTTTTCCTTGCGCTATATAAATTCTACATGGTATGAGATATTCGTAAATCTTGGAACTTTCAAATTAGAAGATTGGATCATGTATAGGTAGAAAAACTTGTTAATGAAAAATGTTTAAGAAAATAACATCAATAAGCCTTGATGGTCACTTTACAATACTATCGTGGTCCCCCTTCCCCTCGCTATGAAAATAATTCAGATGAGTTCTAGCAATAGTTCACAAGGATGACTTTGTCAATGGCTCTCAATGGAACAGAACTGTTGCCGGTTGCAGAAGATTTCATTTATCAACAATTACTTTCAAGGCAATCAATGAATTCACCTATGCTACAATTACATGAACACGAGTTGAAGTTTATTGATTCAAGTAAGCTTTTGGATGGCAGCTTCAAGTTCGAGGAGCAGGCTAAAGTGGCGATTTTAGTCCTTGCAATGGGCAATAGTTATCTAAATATAGCCTTTTCATTCATTCATGAGAGAGAATATTGAAATATAAACCAAGGAAATATGAAATACCTGTTCGTCATAGCAGATTGTTACAAGATGGCTTAAATTAAAGAACATAAAATTCACATATGGTCTAGCAATAACTAAGGTGCATAGAAGGATGGTAGAGGGAGCATAAAGGTCAATACGAATTGATAACTTCAAACAGAACAACTCATTAGGAACCTACACAACTTGCATAGAAAGAAAAGATCTATTTCTGAAAGAGTTTGTTATTAAACAGGATGAATTATAGTTGAGCTACAATATAGATGAGGACTAGAATCACAACCCATTAATTCATTACAAAAGAATTGTATATCAAATCTTGTAGCTAAATACAGATAAATTTAATTATAAAGCGTGGCAGATACATAACAAAATATTGAAAAGATAAAAACGACAAATCACAATCTGGCACGCAAAGCGTCTCTACTGACCAAAAGACTGGGAGAAAAAAGCACAAATTTAAGATATGTTTTTCAACGATGTTTTCCTGGGATGAGAGCCTGGAATATTTACAAGTGATACACACACCTCATGACCATTCACAACCCTATTTTTACCTTTTCTGCTCAGAATAAATCACTTTTTCCCCCAGCAAAAGCAGCAGCTCTGGAGAAGCAAGGATAAAAACAAAGAGCACTAATGAAACATCAGTATGATTAAGACTAAAAACTTACAGATTTACTGTCTAAACATTAAACAGGCGTGGCAGTCATACCTGAGCTTTGTTGTCAGCAGGTTGGTTCCGAGCAGCATATTGTCTCCCATTAGGCGTGCCTGGCACGTGTCCAGCTCCCACCTGTTTCTCCTCCCTCAATACGTTGAAAATGTGAGTATAGCCATCACCTGATGTAGGGTTACTTTCATCCCACTCACCAAACTTCGGAACAGCAGCACCTTTATCAGGCTGCCAAATCAGAAATAATTGTGAAGGGAAGTCTCAAAAGACTCCAAAATCGAATCCTTACAGATTAGCAAACTGATCAATCAATGATGCAATATTCATGATTTTTACTTTTCATGCCATACATGGTAATAAAAGAGAACGGTGGAAAACTTACAGTTTCATCCCCTCGGTTTGATGGTCTTAATCGGGATATTCCAGGTGTACCATGGCCGCTGTCATGTGAATTTTTTCCTTCCCAAGATGGACTATCTCTGCCAGGGGTTTTTGCATGGCGATGAAGGGGTGAACGGTCAATATGTTCAGACCCAGTACTTTGTCTTGAAGGTTTTCTACGGCTGTCAGCAGAACCTACTCCCTGGCCTCGATGGGCAGAATCACTGCTACCATGGTGAGCTGGAGAGTCAACAAAATGTCTAGGATCACCATCCTCCCTGCTCTTTTGTAACTCATTTGTTGATCTCACTGATCCCTTTCCAGATTGATCCTCTGAATGAACTCTGGGTTTTGAAGGGGGTGGGTCAGCAGAAGAAACTAGATCTGAATGTTCCTTGGGCTCATTTGGATTAATCATCATTGGACCAGGTTGACCTTTCTGGGCTTTTTCAGAATAAGCTGCATCTGAAACATGCTGTCAAATAGAAACATTGAAACAGTTTTAAATGCTAATGCTTCTCATTCCAGTATCACAATCAAAGTCATCAAAAGAGAAATAATATATGAAGGAAATAAAAGATATGGCTCCTTTTTCTTTCTTTGCAATAAGGATCATCTTTTGGTACTTCAGGAGATTCAACATGTTACAATGTTATTTTCATTGTCAAAATGGCTGCACTCAACAGCATATACCAAATAGTACACCGGAATCTATTTCACTTTGCATGTAAAATGATAGAACAGTTACCGAAGGATGTTTCTATCAAATTCAAGTCTCCAAGAGATTTCTGATCAGAATGTTTATACAGATGAAGAAAGAAGCAAATGAAAAGCACCTTGATGAAGCATAGAGGACAAAACTTTCTCAAAGAAAATGTTTTATTAAACAATAAACTACATAGTTTAGCATTTCTATAAGTAAGCACAGTAAATTACTGCAAACATTGCACACCCATAAACAAATTTACTCCATCTAACTTCTTTCTCATCCATCATCAACCATCAAAACAAATCACTAAGGAACTCCCCAATGCTGGAAGGATTATGCAGAAAAAAACTCCAAATAACTTCTTCTAAATCGTCCATGCAACAGAACAATGCAAAATATATTAGCATGGATTATCAAAACCAGAAGCTGATAATTCCATATTTTAGGATATGATGTTCTACTTATCGCCCAGTGTTGTAAGTGGCAAAATATTATTGATAACCTAAAGCAGATACCTTGGAAAGTACTATAGGAAAAGTCTGTTTATTTTTTATTTTTATTTTTTGTGTGTGTGACTAGGAAGATCCCTATTGAGAGCTAAGATCTAAGGAGGCATGTGAAAATGGAATTCACGGATATCAAACCCCCCAACCAACAGCAGGTCCCTAATCTTAAAGACCAGGGGAGGTACAATTGTACAAAGTGTGCTAAGACTCATCAATCGAGAAAGGTCCTTAACCATGCCTGGAGAAACAATGTCACAGAATTGTTAAAAATCAACTATTATCCTCATTAACAAGTATACCTGCATTTTGAGTCCAACTTGCATCTCACCTTTTCTAATCTTCATTCTTCTTGCTTTGTCTTTAATCTCTCGTGCCCTCTCTGATATGGTATCTCTCAACACTTAGTATATCACATTTAGGTGTTTCTTGTCTATTTACCCATATATAATCATTTTCAATTTCATATTGAACTTAAAAATATTGCTATATATATATATATATATACACACATATATATGCATTTAAGAATTGTTTTTCATCAACTCTCACATTATATTTTCTTTACATACTTGTACCTTTTCTAAACCAATTAGTCCCCACAATAGTCCAATTTTTGTAAAAGAAAACTTTGGTCCTAGAAACCATATTGATTACAAGACAGACATGGTTAAAAGATCGATACAATTTAAAATTTACTAACCTTAAGTATCTGTTGTTATTTGCATTGTTATGGTATTATAAGATGTCTCGTAACTCAATTTATCGAATCAAGCAGATAGTTCTCCAAACTTTACAACAGAGTACTATGTTCATATATCACTCCATTACATTCAGTTCACGGACAGTCAATAAAGTCCGTGATCTTCTCCACACCTTGGAACCAAAAAAAGAAAACAAAAACAAAGAAAAAGATGTAGTGTTGAAACCACCTTATAAAAGACTTTATTTACAAGTTGCTTGTTTATAATATAAATTTGATATTTTGAATACTCTTGTAGAGCTCAATAACTTCAAGAAATTTCCTTTGATCTTGAGGGCAAAGGCTATAAATTAACTACATCTCTAAGGTTTGCACATATTCAAGAATGTTGGCAATAACCAGTTGCCAAAGAAGCAAAGCTATTATCATTCTGTAATTACATTATAAGACCACTCAGTAATCAGTATCTTTCGCAAAGCATAATGGATACTCAAAATACAAGTTTTAGTGCTTTGTTATATAAAGTCAAAAATGGTTTTCTACGTCTAATCTTTTAGAAAGTCTCTTAACATCATCCTACAAGACTGATTCATGACAATTTGCTTGTTGAAATACAAGTTCTAATGGTGTTGTTATATAAAGTCATGAATGATTTTCTAGGTCTAATCTTTTAGATAGTTTCTTAACTTCATCCTACAAGGCTGATTCATGAAAATTTGCTCGTTGAAGTTTGTTCACTTACATTTTCATAAAGTTCAATTTAGATTTCTCAATTCCAGTTCCATAAAGCCGGAGGTTGTTCAAACTAAAACCATATATTTAGTTTACAAACCTACAATTTCACTTCAATAGATACGTATTTGCAAAACCAGTACGGCTGGTATCACAAAAGCATTATTCATTTTCACTCTCATCTCTTTCATCAGACCATCCATTTTATATTAAGAAATTGTTGTATATACTGATACTACTGAAAGTCACCAACTAACTGAAAGTCAAAGTCTTATAAAGCAGTGAATTTCCCATCAAAATTGTCATTTTGTCAGTTGATGTTACATAAGAGTCATAACTACTTGGAAAAATTGAAAAGATCTTAGTAATCTTCTAGGGAAAGAAAAGCTCAAAGGGGCCTCTT